ATCCAGCTCAGTTCAGTCTGGGAAGAAAGTTGCATCTGGCAGAGTTATCCAAAAGGCTGAGACAAGCCTGTTAACAGGCTGGGATTAATACTGACACATCCAAAGAAAAAGATCAGAATATACAGGTAATGGAACACAAGTCTTTAGGCCTGGAGTCTCTAACATTCCTTGATCTGAATGCACCAATTGGCCTGAAAACAAAATCTATAAAAAAACCACCTTATAAGGAGCAGCAAGTTCACACTTTAAAATACACTGTCTCTTTCTCTCCTGAAGGTTGATCCTTATCTACTGAGGTCAGAAGAGTTAGTCTGAAAACAAGTCTGTTCACCGTCAAGCAGTTGCATATTAGCAATGTGTAAGCATTTTTACACAGAATTCTGCTGAAGCTAAAAATAGATTTAATTTTCACTTCCCCAGTGGTCCAAGTTAAAGAAGGATTTGAATTATTACAATTCTATTTCTTACATTAAAATGTAGGCACTGTTGCTGCTATGCCACTTGCTAAATTTTATATTTAAGAACAAATGTGTATTTCTTAATGTTGCTGGTTAAAATCTAGTTATACACAGCAAAAGTATCACCTTTTCAGCTCATCCTAATCAGACGCAAGTTTAGCTCTGGGCACAGCAAACCAAATACCTGGACTTCGGAAGACTTTATAAGCATGGCCCACCTAATCCTCTGCTTCCTAGCCCACACAGTGCCAAACCCTTACTCCTTTTCAGGTATGAGGAGGCATATTCCTTCCTCATCACAATTTTCACTTATGAGTCTATGATTATCCCTTTAAAAAAAATACAAGTGTGTTATCCAAGCCATTACCTAATATGTGCAGAAAAGAGAAGCCATCCATTTTTAAATATACATTTAGAACCATGGAAGAAATAAAGCCTACAGGAAACACTGAAGTATTGTAACAATAAACTAATTCCATTTATTTTGCTTAAAGTACACAGAAGTTGGCAGTCTTGCATGTCTGTGACTCATGCCTGCAGCTCACCATCTCCATAACACCATGACACATCCTGCAACCAGCTTTTTGGGTTGCAGCCATAAGGATGTATGCTTGAGAAGATATAGGGCAAGAAACAAGGAAAGAAGGGGGTGGACAAAACATGGAGAGGAGAGGTGAGGGACTCTAGTCTTGTCTTAAGGAGACAAAGGGAAATCATAGAATCATAGAATGGTTTGGGTTGGAAAGAACCTTAAGATCACTTAGTTCCAACACCAATACATCATAAAAAGTAATTAAAGCAAAAGATGTAGGGTAACAGGAACAGAAGAGACCTTGGGAATAATAAAATGTGGCAGACAGACACCTGCCTCAGGTGCATGCACAAAGGCAGCCTGGGGAACACACAGGAGAGCCTAGAGCTCCCTGTGCAGTCATAAATCCAATCAACAATATTCCTAGAGGGTGTCAGGGAGAACTCTCTGATGCAAGTACTGAAAAGGTCAACAGGAGTGACACACAGCTAGATCAGCTCTTCACTGGTAAAGAGGAGCTGGTTAGGGATGTGAAATCAATGGCAGCCTTGGCTGCAGCGACTCTGAGGCAGAAGAGTTCAAGATGCTAAAGGGGGTGAGGGAGGAGAGTAGCAGCACAGACAATGGACCAAAGGAGCAGACTTTGGTTCATTCAGGAAAGTGGTAGGTGGGATCCAACTGGAGGCGCTCTGAAGTGCAAAGGAGCTCAGGGAACGTGCAGATCTCTAAGAACAGCAGCCTCCATGCACAAGAAAAGCCCATTCCTATTCTCAGGAAAACAAGTAGATATATCAGGATACTGGCTTACCAGCAAAGCTACAATGTGAAAAAGCAGAATGAAACAGGAACAGACTACTAAAGGAGAATTTAGAAATGTTGCCTGGCCATTTAAGCATGATGCTAGGAAAACCAAAGCTCACCTACAGCTGATGCTTGTAGAAGGGCATCAAGGACAACACAAAGAACTTCAGCCACACCATTAATAGTAAAATGTTGAATAAGAAATATGTAGACACTTTTTTGAATGGGGCCAGAGATGCAGTGAAAGTGGATGCAGATAAAGCTGAGGTACCCAATGTTTTCTTTACTTCATTCTTCACTAACTAGGTCTCCCTCTCCTCCATGCTTAGTGAATGAGTTCAGGGAGGAGACCTGTCAGGAACAGGTGAAAATAAGGGAGGGATTACTTGACAGGACTTGACCCATAAGAAGAGCCCATGGGACTCAATGGGCTGCACCCAAGGCTGCTGAGAGAACCAGCTACCATCCTTGTAAGGCCACTTTCTAAGGTCATGGAGATGAAGGGAGGTTCCCAACAATTGAAGAAAGGCAAATGGTGCAACCATGTTCTAATGATGCCACAAGGCTAAAAGTTGATCCTCTCTTTGATCCCTGGGAAAATACTGGAGCAAGTCCTCTTTAAAGGCATTTCTGAGAACTTGAAGGAGCAAAAGGTAATTGGGAACAGCCAGCATGGGTTTATCAAGGATACATCATGCCTGAGAAACTCAGTTGTCTTCTTTGATAAAATGTCTAGATTAGTGGACAAGGGGGGAAGAGTCATTTGCTTTTAAAAATGAGGGAATAAATCAATGCTGAAGTTTGAATCATAGGGACTGAGGAGGAAATTTATGTGGTCTATCCATCCTTCCTGTGGAGGAAAACCTTAGCCTGACATAAAGAAGACAGTCATTATGAGAATTGTTAGGGTTAAATACTCATCCAAGAAATAAACTAGCAAATGATACCACAAGTTTTTCAACATGTATGCTTTATTTGCTGCTTTTTTTAAGACCTGAGAGGGTCAAGTTAGAAAAACACTGCTGTGGTTTGAGTAGAACCTCAGAGTCATATGCCACTGTCACCATGTATTTACAAGACCTATTGGACAGCTGCAAAGACAGAAGAAAACTCAAAGGCATGGAATGGTGAAATGGGTGAGTGAGTGGGCAGAGAGACTTGGCTTAGAAATACTTGGCAAGTGAAGTCATTTGTTTCAGTGCATGAAAGGTATGCCCAAGAACAAAGGCTGAATAAGTATCCTACCATAACCCTGTAAAATGTTCCCTAGGGAGAAGAATTAAGATGCTGCCTTGACCAAGGCAGCTTTAATGCTGTGAGCACAGCAACTAAGTACTTGATTTACCCTAGGAGCAGTAAGCAAAACTTTCAACAACTAGAAAAATACAACAAATTCTTGAAATACAGAGGAGTGGAGTGACAAAACAGTTTGAACACTGCCTGTGTAATACATGACATCAAAAACATTGATTCCTAGTAGCTTCACTACTCTAGCAGCACAATGTGTGGTTTCAGATTTGCTTCACTTTGTGCTCCCTGACAAAGCCATTTTCCGTTAGTGCAAAATGTGGATACATTTTGCCTGTCAATAATTTTGTAGGCCATTTTTCCAAAGTAAACGACACAAAATGCAAACTGAAATTTTATGCTAAGAAGCACAGGAACGGAAAAGCAGACAGTTCAAATACTTTCCCATTTTGGTCCTAACTTCAGTTTCTCTGTTTAACAGATGCTTATTTAGTACACCAGTTATTCTATAAATGTTATAAGTGTGTGTTTTGGGGGTTTCTTAAGCCTCACAGAAAAACAAACACCACAAAATCTATGCCAGCACCTTATCTCATGACAGTGAAAACAGCTGCGCTGAATCAATGACTTCCTCCCGAAGCTGTATCTCTCTTAGCAATCAGCTCACAATCCATAACGCTACCCGTGTGAGGTAAGGGAGTGTAATGAAAATGGGTGGTGAAAGATGATCCTCCACCAGTGTGAAAACTGTTAAGAGAAGTCTTCAGTTCCAGACCTCTGAACAGAATGCTATTTTAGCTCCTCAAAGCCACCACTATGATTAAGCTGCTTACATGTGTTTGAATTGTGCTTGCAAAAAAGTACTCTGCTTTTGTAACACTTCTGCAGCCTATTTTAAATTAGATAAAAAAATACTGTTTAAATTGACTATTGCTCTTCATTTTTCTGTGCATCAAATTTCTCTTTCCATATTTTATAGATTTTTATACATGTACAAAGAGGAAAGAAAATTACATAAAAGAGAGAAGAAAAGTTAATCAGTGACTTTCACTTACCCATCCATTAAAGCCTTCTGGGTGAGCTGCAACACCCAACACAAGGTGAAAAACTTTGCCACATGGAATGGCTTATAATCAAGCTCCATTGGCTTCTCCAACACATCTGTGCACTCCTTCCAGCACTGCATATTCAACCATTTTCTTTATTAACAGCTGCTTAAGACACCTCTGTATCAGCTTTCAGACCTGTGTGAATCCCATTCTCAAGCAGCAATAGAAACCATCAATCAGTGATAGAAAAAATCCAGTTTTATACTGGTCCAGCAGCAGAGAAAATCCATATAATGCCACAGTAACAGGACACAAAGAACCGATCTAGTATAAAAATCACCCTTCCAGTTCAAATTTGTTCCAGATATTTTGATAGAGTATCTTTGCACTTGCAAATCTTTACACCCAAAAGGGTATCATCTATTCTCGCAGAGCCAGCCAAAATCATCAATCCAGTAAGAACTTTTCATTGCTTGCTCTGCCAATCCAGGAGGAATGTGATCACGTGTCCAAACCAGGCCAATCTTTTAGGTAATCAAATAGTGCACAAATATGGTACTAAATATCATTTAAGCATGACCAAAGAGGCAGCCACTGTCAGGAAAAGAGACAATACTGGTGAAAAGAGTAACAACCATTTAAGCCTGTGACAATTTTAGAATGACATGCTTTTAGAATCCTAAAATCAACTAGGTTGGAAAAGACCTTTAAGGTTATAACCAATCTCAAAACGCCATTACCATGGAAACTTTCATTCTCTGAAAATCACCCAGAATTACTAACTTAGGTGTCCTGTGTCCTGCAAGACCAGGTATGGACTATATTAACATTAGAAAAGGACAGGTATGCCAGATTAGGCAGTTCACTCACTTGCACGTTGTTTGAGTTATAATGTTTGAATTACACTGAATTATAATGACTACAGGGCACAATCTTGTCTTTGTAATAGTTTTTAAACCAAAATTTTACTGCTCCCTTGAGTATTTATACAACCTTCCAAAAATGTAGCAGAACTGCTTCTTCACTGAGAGCTTTGGGTTCACAAATAGGGCATAAATTTTAATTCAACACGCACACAAACAGGTATCTCCTTCCAATGAACCTCTATGGAGTTATCAATAGATGATTCTTTCATAGTACCAGCTCTATATTAAAAAGAAATGAAAACAACAAAAATTAAAAGCAAAAAGTACCTCAAACCCACAAACCACAAAGGATATCCAGCAAAAAGTGTTATTCTTTTCAATGCACTGGATGGTGTTTAACCTGGCTTAATACCATCAAAAAAAAAAAAAAATGATAGCCTGAAAACTAGCAGAATCAAGGCAAATGCATACCTCTGTCTCACTCTTCACCAATGCCATTAGTAAACAAAGTTTGTTTGCTACTTCTGCTTAAGATACATATGAGAAAATAGTACTATATAAGAGAGGAACATTATCTGTAAGACATTTACTTTAACTTTCTAAAAAGAAGGTGTCTTAGGTGATCTCAGTGTTGCAGACTTTTGGGGACATAGTATTTTCATGAAAGCCATTCGAAATCTCATATGACAGAGAGGGTAGAGAAATGGATTCAGAGAAGAATTGAGCCACAAAAGCCAAAAGGTTATTTCATACAGGGACTTATGGATGCACTCTCTTTGGCAGGCCCCACGAATGATCATTAGTAAAGTGTATGGGGCCCAGCAAATGGCAAACACACACACAATTATAGCAAGTGACTTTGCTATTCTCTTGTCCTGCTGCAGTTTTGACCCAGACCTTGAGCAGAAAGAAACAGAAACATCCTTTTTTAGAGCTGTGGAGCTGGTTTGTGTTGGAGATGAACAGTTAGTCTCCACTGCTGGTCTCCATGGCCTTGTTAATGAAGAAATACTGTCCTCTGCTTCTGATGGAGGAGAAGATGCTCCTGGACTTGGCACAAGGCAGGATCTCCAGGACAGGCTACTGGTCCTTGAATGCTCACAGCTCTGGATGCTGCCACCCCGCTGGCGCCTCTGGATGCTGTGGAAGATGTGCACGTTGAAGTAGGTCACCAACAGCAGCGGCACAAAGAACTCCAGGGTGGACGCACACAGGAGGAAGAGCCAGTTGCTGAAGAACTCGGCATAGCACTGGTCCGCTGGTACCACGCTGTGTCCAGCCACGGGCTCCCAGAAGAGGATTGCTGGGCAGTAGAGGAGAAAGGCAAAGACCCAGATGGCCACCATCTTGATGACAGGGTTGGATGTTATTCCCTGCTGGGCTCTGTAAGATACCTGTGAAGGAAAAGGACATGTTCTATTTAGACAGCATTTTGGAACATCTTAAAAAAACATAAGCAGTTAAGTCAAACACAATATTTGTTCTGTAGTTCTCCAGACACCTAAAACATCTTCACTTACATAAGGTCCTGAAAAATTCTATTAGTCTTGTTCATCAAATACTGTAGCTCTGTGGTTAATACTTAGGTTTGGAGAGGACCAGAAATTATGATGGCTAAACTACCATTTGGCTTCCAGGTGTGAAAGGATATGCCTTGTTTTCATCATTACTACAGTAAGGTAGCAATAACAAATCAGTTTATGATTCATGAAATGCCCAGGCTCAGAGGAAAAGCAGCTGTGGGACGTCTTTCCTCAACAGACAAAAGTAGAATCCAGGTTGCCAGAAGTAAACAGGATGCCATGTAAGACTGCAAACACTAGACAGTGTAATTTTTGATACTGTTTCCTCTTGCTATAGCAGAAAAATCTTCATGTAAGCTTTAATATCCCTTACTTTATTGAAACATTACCTTGTAAACAGCTCATGGAAATCTCAATGTTTTTGTGTCTACCCAGGCTGCATTAATTAATTTTACTCTCTTGCAGTAAATATCTATCTTTGAAAATAATACTAAGAGACAAAAGCATCCATTGTTAGGAAACATGAGAGTTAAAACTGCCCTTGTAATAGCCCAGCAAGTATGTACAATACATACTTGTAGCTCTTGGTCCCCAGCATCTTTCAGAGCACAAGATGATGAAAATAAGAAGCTGGACAGTTTTATTTCCTCCACACTGTTCAACATTTGTCATCCCAGGCTTTACTCCAAACCAGAAGCACTACCTTTCTCATCAGCTTCCACTGCTGTTCATTATATGCTATACAAGTAGTAATGAATGGTGTCTTCACAGCCACACATGGCATAAGGGCTATTGTCCCTATTTTACCAGTGACTAACAGAGCACAACTGCAGTGTTTCAATCATTATTTTACATTTTCTCTTTTAAACACCTGTAGCCTGAAGTTTCAGACTTCTCTACATCTTACAGCATTATATCAGCTCAGAGCCCAACTCCAGTTCTGCAACAACTAATTTGCATCCCTTTGCAAGAGCACAACCATTTCAGTTTAGTCGGCCGAAAACAGGAAGCTCATCACAGCTTCACAAACAGTTAAATCTGAAATGACTGGCCCCTGGCCACAAGCTAGGTTTGCAGCAGAGGCAGAGGTGGATCCCAAGTCTGTGAGGAAGCATGATAACTTTTCTTTATGTTACACTGTCCTGGACTCACTTCATCCTAATTACATAAACAGGAAAAGCAAAATATGATCATGTAAGTAAAGACTAGCAACAGTGTGTAAGAACATGGAGCTGAGTTGTGTTGCATAGGTCTTTTCAGTTTACATTTCTCACATTTTAACACCTGCAATTTCATGAGTATTTTTCAATATTACTGTTTCTTAAATACAGGGATTTTCATTCTTAACTTAAAAAACCCCAATCAACCCTAAAACCACACCAGTGGGGAAGAAGAGATTAGGCATTGCAACAGCACTTGCCAAACAAGAACCTCCCAGACTAACACAGCCCATGTCACTTGAGCTAGCACACTCATCAAAAGCAAAGGATGTTGATCATCTTCCACCTGGACCAAACATCAGGTAGAGCTTAGTAATGGTGAATTATTTACCACTGGATTCCTCAGATATCTTCTTAAGCAGAAGAATGGTAATACTCAAGAAGCACCTCTTCTCCACATATTTTGGTTCATTCTTTTTGCTTAAAGTGATTAGTTTCCACCCAGCTGCTTTTTAGCAGTACATGTCAATCACCCCCTGCGGTAATGAAGAGCCTCATCTGATCTCCAGTCAGTCCATCTCACCTCTCTCTCCATATCTTCTTCTTTTAAAATTTATCCCAAGACTAAGCACATCCTTGACTCAACCTAGTTTTCATTACCACTATTCTAATGACCAAAGCCCAAGTTCTCCACACTGCTGCTGCCCCTTTCCTACCTTGACCTTCCCACCTTCTCTGTAGTGTAATTAAATAATTTCTAATCCAGGCAGCAGGAGGAAAACACTGAAATCATAGGCAAGACATTGTCCTATCTCAAAATCCCAATGCAACATTGAAATATCAACATTTCTCTAGAAAAAAAATGGTACAATCATGAAGGACTATTTAGCTTCTAGTGTTAATTGTGAACTCTCAGAGCTTAATAGAAATAGCAATATATATAAATCAATAATTAGAAAAGCTCTTCTTACAGCTTTTGTAACTGACAGGAAACGGTCGTAGCTGATAAGAACGATGTTAAACACTGAAGCTGAGCACAGGAGATAGTCCATAACTAGCCAGGTCTTGCACAGGCCTCTTCCCAAGTGCCACGTCCCTGTCAGGGCATAAGGGATATACAAAGGAATACAGAACACACCTGTGGAAATAAAACAAACACACACGTCAGTAAACACTGCAGCAGTGCTCATGAAAACAGAGACATTACTGCAGTATCCAATAAAAGCATGATACTGACTGAAACTGCCATGTGGAAGGCTTTGTATTGTCATGCAACCAATGAACACTGTACTACAAACTAGGCACCAGCAACATAATTAATACCTTTCTGAAAGGCATATCGTGTTTATTGTGTATCATTATTACTTCTTCTGTTTATATCACCTGCTAAAGGAAAGAGCAACTGACTTTTTAACCTGCTGAAGTAAACACTATTCTGTATTAACTACTGAAAGTAAAACAAGCAAAAACATCTTTCTCCCCAGTGTAATTTACTAACTGCTTTCTACAATAAATTATCCAATTTTCACTATTCTGTTCTCTTAGAAGCATGATAAGGTGCCTGAAAATGCTCCAGAATAAATTTTTCTAGAAATACAATATGAATTTCAGACTAACCTTTAAAACTATAAGATCAAAAGGCTGACAAAACCTGCACAGTTAATTAAGTACACCCAGCCTAACACTTCTTCTCATCATAATTCTAGATCATAACCACTTTTCAGTGGTGGGCTGATAGGATATTATCTATGGGAACAAAACAAGCAGTGGGAACATACATGAGTGATCCGCACCCATAGATATCTCAACATAGGCTGTTAAACCCAACTGTTGTGAAAGTGCCAATATGACCTTATTTTAATGAATTTCTAGCTCATAACACTACACACACAGTCCCAATGCAGACTTGTGAGGCTGAAGCATTAACGGTGTTGTTTGCAATGATAAAGAATCACTGCATCTACAGAGAAAATAACACTGGCTCTTTCAAGCAGAAAGTTGTTTTATAGATTTTAGCATTCAGGAGGAACATGCTTAGAAATTGTTTGTTATTTTTGTTTACCTGTACAAATACATATTTCTACAGTATGACTCTAGATAGAGCATGTACAGCAAAATGGTTAAAACTACTATTCATTGCCATTTCATTACAAACTTCGGTAATTATTTTATGAAAGTAGAAATCTTGAAATAGAGGGTATCAACCATGTGTGCAAGATCTGCCAGATAATGTATACTGTATTCAGTTTGGCTATCCAGACTTTAGTCAAGACCCTTTACAAACAACTCCCACTCTTTAGTATTCTAAATGTATTCACAGACAGTAGTATTTGTTCCTGAAGTGATAACATTAAGCATTACCTATGTACCTGACAAAGGATGCATTTCTCATTCTAACATATTGTGACACATAATAGGCTGTTAAAACACCTCATGCAGCTTGCACCGTTCCTTACTCTCCCCCCAGACACACACCTGGCAAACAGTTCTCTTAGAAGAAACCACCCACCCAGAAAATAAACCCCACTGCTTCTCCTAAGATTCCCAGGACAAAAGCAGTACGTGCCTCCACTGCTGTGACTTACCTACTGCAAAGTCAGAAATAGCAAGATTGAGAAAGTAATAGTTACTCTGATGCCTGAGGTTTCTGTCCATGATGAAAGCCAGGATCACCAGGGCATTTCCAAGGATGGTCACCAAAGCGAGCAACACCATGAGGAAAGCCAGCAGCACCAACACGCCCAGGGAAAACTCGGAGCTCGGTGACTGTGTGGACCGAGTCTCATTCCACATTTCAGCCATAAGTGGAGTTTCAGCAGTGCTGTTGTGCATGTTGCCTATGCAGCTCAGTTCAGTCTGGGAAGAAAGTTGCATCTGGCAGAGTTATCCAAAAGGCTGAGACAAGCCTGTTAACAGGCTGGGATTAATACTGACACATCCAAAGAAAAAGATCAGAATATACAGGTAATGGAACACAAGTCTTCAAGGCCTGGAGTCTCTAACGTTCCTTGATCTGAATGCACCAATTGGCCTGAAAACAAAACCTACTAAAAAAACCACCTTATAAGGAGCAGCAAGTTCACACTTTAAAATACACTGTCTCTTTCTCTCCTGAAGATTGATCCTTATCTACTGAGGTCAGGAGAGTTAGTCTGAAAAGGTTCTGATGCTAGATAAATCCAGATTTCTTAAGATCTTTTTAAAGCATGCATATCTCTAGAAGAGCAACTAGTGGGAAATATGCAGTTTTCCCAAGCTCATATTTTAAAATGCAAGTTCTTCTTTAAACAACTTGATCTTTATCTGTAGAGATCAAGAAGGCTGATTTGAGATCATCTCTTGCTTTCCTCCCTTCCTCTCTTGTTCTCTCCCTCTCAAAAGTGTTTTGCTTGCCAGCCCTATGGACAACAACATTTTCTGAGATATTTTTCCTTAATCTTGGGTACATATCCTTATGAGAATATAAACTACTTTCCATTTCATTCTTGTTTATCTAGTCTCACTCTATTTCAGCAAGTTTGTGGTCTCTCTCTATTGTGTTATAATTGTTTGTTGACAAAAAGCATGGTCAACTTGGTTGTTGCTGTGTTGTTCCTCTTTCTGTGGACCCTAGGGCTGAAAACTGCTATGCTGTACATAAGCATATATACAGTTACTTACCAGAGCAGTTAACTAGCAATGGCCCAATCCTCAGAGGTGAGTCACAAAAATCCCACTGAAATCAGTTTCAAAACTCCTAGCAGCAGCCCCAGTGACACAGCACTTCCCAAACCAAAGGAACTAAATCCTGACTCCCTGAACATGAATGAGAGCTTGGCAATAAGCTTTCATAGGACAAGGCTTTTCTTTCCACACTGGTGGGAGAAAACGTATGTCTTTCACAAGTGCTTATATTTTGTGTGAGTAATGAAGCCACTTGCAGAGAGCTGAGTATTCCACAGTTGTAAAAATTCAATCACTTTTATTATGGGTTCTAAAACCACTTTGGTGTCTAATTTTAGACACTTAAATTTGAGAACTATTGGCTGTCATGTCTGTGCTTCTGTTGTGGGAACAAATTCATTAGCATTTGCCAAATGCTTTTACTAAATGCGTGAGCTGCAGCAGTACAATAAATGCAAAACTTTATTATCCATACAAATATCCTCACAGCATGTACGTCTATTACTGCTTTAAGCTTTATTTTGTTTCCAGGTAATGCTTGAAATGTAGAAAACACACTGCGGCAGCAAGTACTAAGTAATACCACTAGCCTTTCTTCTGCTAGCAATATTGAAGCTGATCTACATGTGATTTTGGAGTTCCAAGCAATTCTGTGGTTGAAAAGGAAATAAAGTGGTGAACAAATGTAAGGTCAAACTAAGGGTTTGTACAATCCTGTATTCCAGCTGTCTCAACTGCCTGTAGTCTAAGGAATTGTGTAAGAACATGGCAAAATACACTGTTGGTGTGCTCCCCATGCCTCCAGCAATTTGTGGGTCAAGGTGCCAATATGGCACTAGAAGTGACAATCATTTTATTTTCACTTCAACTTCTAAATAGTCACCTTCTTGCCACAAGAATTTCTGCTTCTGCATTTTATTGATCATAAAAGACATCACAGGCCTCGTATAGGCCTCCAAGGATGGTAACAATCCTTCTGCCATTGCTTCCCTGCATTTAAATCCAGAGAATGGCATGAAAATTGCCATGGATACTGCCAAATCATGGATCTTATATAAACAGTTACCATGTCCCAGTTATACTTTTTGTTTCCTCATACCGAACACAAATAATCCTTTGTGACAGGTCTCACCTTATCATGGAAGCAAGAGCTCTCCTGTGCATTCAAAGCAGCAATCCCTTGGTAAGAAGCACTGCATCTAGGGCACTGCACAGAGGCAGACACAACATACCTGCTCCAAACCTTTGTCAGCGAGTGCTCAGAAACTGTGCTGAGTCACGTATCCTAAAGGAAAGTATGTAAAAGGTTTTCTTCTTTTGGACATGGGGCTGCTTGCCTTCAGTCACGAAGGGGTTACCCCGCAGAAAAGGGGAGAAGACACAAGCTCTTCAGTATCCTTTTCTACTGGAAACCTTTGGATATTGCTTTGATTTCTAACTTCATCCAGAAATGCCAGCTTGAGCTGGTAGGCCTTCTACAGACTGGCACCTATGATGAATCAATGCACAACCACCAGTCTCAGAAGAAGAGAATTTGTTACAACCTTCTGAAAGCCCCCTGAGGATCAAAAGGCTGCAAATATCTTATAAAGTCAGAAAAATCATAGACCCAAACTGCGTTCCAAAAGAACACCATTTTGTAAAAAAACTCATGCTAATAGACAAGCCATGAGGCTGAAAGACACTTTTATAGCAATCACAATTAAAACTCGATCCTCTTAATAGCAAAGCCCTTACTCAAGTTCTAGGCATTTTTTTCTTGTGAGAATCCATGCTAAAATTATTAAAGCTACAGTGTCAGTTAAGATACTGATGTAATTTGCGACCACTTAGAATGGTGCAATTACAGCTTTTTTTTGCAAAAGAGAATATACTGGTTTTGACCCTTCTTTCTCAAACTGCTTTACAAAGTACAAATAGAAAGGTTCTCATCAAATCTTAACACAAAATCTTCAGTGCACAGGAGCTGAATTAGAAAGGTTCTCATCGAATCTTAACACAAAATCTTCAGTGCTGAGAAGCTGAATTAGAAGAGTATTATGAGTATTAAACAAAGAATCTATAACTATGATTAAACCAGTCTAGAACACACGTCCAGCTAGAAAAATATCTGAAGTAGATGATAAACCACGGATTTTCTACTGGTGAAGTGTATGAGCCGTTCAATGATAACCCTGTAAAAAGGTATGGAATTTTTATTCCAATACATGTGCTAGACAATAAATGCATAGCACAGATTAATACTCAAAAGAGAAGCTTGTAAGAATGACAATTCTTTTCCATTGCTCAACTGTCTTGAATTCATTAAGGCTCTTCTATCTGAAGTCTCTGTTTTACAAATACCTGGCAGTTCTTTAGAAGGCACTTTTCTAACAAAACATTCCAATCAGAGACCAGGTATAAACTCTGGCTCTTGGTCCAACAATTTGAGCAACAAAGAAGAAGAAATCATTCTGATACTAACTTGTAGGAGATTTCAGTCCTGTAATGGCTAATCTGGTTTCAGCCATACCTGTGATTTGTTTCTAGAAGAGCAAAGAAAAACGGTAGAAGAAAGACATAGGACAACTCTTCCACAAGTAGGGGATGGGTATACAGCTTATATTGTCTTAAATAAATTTACATTTGATCACAAAAACTGTTAAAACTGCTGCTTCCCTTTAACATTATATATTCTACTAGGACATTCTTTTTAGAGTTGTTGCAAGTCATTTTTGTAATCTCCTTCCCTTGCTGGGTCCCACTCGCTAGTTCACATACACAGAATTTGTTTAATGCAATATAATTTCTTATCAGGTTTCACAATCAAGTTCTGGACTGAAGAACATTGAGGCTCTATTCTAAGTTGAATTTCAATACATTTCTCTGATTCTTATCTATAAAACTTCAACTTGCAGGAAAATATTAAACCATCATGCCTTATATTGATAAGTAACATTACTACATTGTTTATCAGTGTGAGTTTAGAATATCAGTATTTATAATAACACACTTAACAGTAGTATAATGATTGTGTCCCCAGTTTAAGCAAAAGCAAAGGCTGATCCCACCTTTGTTACCTGGTAGGGGAGGAATCTAAATCTAAAGATCTCCTGTCAGTACACTTTAGGTAACAGAGTGCAAAAATTCCTTTCTTTCCTGTCATCAGGGATCCTTTGGCTGATTCTGCTTAACTTCATTTTACCACAGAAGCCTGCAAATATGGTGAGACATACCTAACAGGAAAAGGCAAATCTTTCTCTTTTCTGCATAGAAACATACCAAAGGCTACAACTTCTCTTAATATCTGTAAACTTTACACAAAAATAAAAAAGGATGACTTATGTCAGCAACAAACTAAATGGTCGTTAGTTATGAAAATTACAGGGTTATTGTGATTACAAGTGTTGTCTCTCCTGTTTTTGTCACATTTTTCAATTAACAAAGGAATACTAAACTGAAATTACTATAGTTCAGAGACAAAAGATATCAGTACTTCCAGTCTGTTCAAGAGCAATACTCTGTCTTCAGAATAACATACTTCACAAGGACATACTTCAGCATACCCAAACCTCCTCAGATAACAGTCTATCCAAGGTTAGACTACAGGAACCTGCAACTTCCACAAATATTATAAAGCATAATTTTACTTTTTTTAAGATACCTGCATATTTTTTTTTGAGCAGTGGCTTATGGCCTCAGAGAAGTGACTTAGGAAGCACACCAGCTGCTTTTAAGAGTAGGCTGACAGAACCAAAATGTTTTATAGCTGAGTTTCTAAGAATTCAGGTTCTTGATTTCCATATTAACAAGCCAAATGCATTATAGGCAATGACGAAAATCTGAGGATCAAAATATATATTGTGGGTCTGCTGCTGCTGTGCTCTACATGGGGAATAGGTTATTTCTGTCCTTTGGTTACCAGTCTCAGGGACTTCAACTGCTACATTTTTTGGTCCTGACAGGTAATGACCACTGCTCTGCTAACATTTCTGAGTTACAAAGTAGAAATAATTGTTCCACTTAAGTGATGGGATACAGCCTCCTTGAAGCAGGGCTACTAATCAAAGAGCAAGAATCACAGGTTCTTTAAAGCAGAGGTATGCCAAGGCATCACACCCAAAGGAAAAAAACCTGCGTTGCAAAACTGCTATAAAGCCACATGAAAGCTTGTTCTTAGAAAAGAAAGGAAGTTTAAACTTACAAAATGCTTACAAACAAAAACAGGAAGCAAATGCAATTTCTCTAACCAGAAGTGTTCACAAAACATCTAGCCAGCACTTTATCTCTGAAATAGCCTGAAAATACAAACAAGTTTCCACTTTGATGGTCTGTTTCCAGCTGTTTCATGGGATAGGGGATTCATTTTGCTCACTGGTTGAATGACCTATATGGTCTATTTCATTTATGCAGCAAGTGGGTATCAACATT